AGGACTCCGATTTCATCCAGGTCTCTCTGTTAATGCGGCTAATGGTGAGTGCTGCAGGTGCAGGACCATTCCAGCCACCTGAATAGCCTCTTTGTAATTCATTCATCTCCGGGGCTTCTCTTTAGAATATGGCATTACCTGCTTGTATGTACTCTTCAGCTTCGGGAATGTAGCTGCAGTTATGTATATAGAAGAATTCAAGTAAAGTCTTAAAGCACGTATAAGCTAATAATTACCTAATTTTCAGTGGGGAGGGAGACAAGAAAATCTGTTGGGTCTCTCCCCCAAGTAAAATTATTAAATTATTATTTTAACTTTTCAGCTACTTGGGGTTTTGTTGGTATACTCTGGAATTTTTATTCCTATTTATTATTAGTTAACTATTAGCTTTTCACTCTACATATTTCCACAAGTTATAACCTTTGGTGTCTGCTTCATAGCCACATTTATTTTTCAAGCTAAGTCTGTGTTTACATGATTCTGGCATTTGTTGGCAGTGCTTTCATACTCTGACTTCTCCACTTGTAAGAGTTTATTGTGATTCATGTCCTCTTGGGTGTGTTCAAAATTATTTCAGTAAAACGTAGACAGAGGCAGTATTTTTATTGAGCCTTTGTGTGTACAAGAGTGTCTTGAGTCCAGATAGGTACTTTTTAAATAGATTTATTGAAATATTTTACATATTATAAATCTATTCAATTATTTTTAGTAATTCAGTAATTTTACTTGGTTGTCAAACAACACTAACAATTGGTTTTGCAACATTTTCATTCCTAACCCCCTCATCAGGTACTTTATGCTCATTTAGGATAATCCCCAACTAGACACCTCCCTGTAAGCAAACATTAATGTATTTTATCTTTACATATATTTGACCTTTGAAACACATATTTGACACATTTCATAAATGTGTAACTATATAATATGTTTTTGGTATCTGACTTCTTTCATCTGAATTCTTTGTGAGGTATAGGCACAAAATCGCACCTAGCAGTGGTGTGTTCCTGTTGTTGCTGAACACTGTTCCCCTGACCATCTGCTCCATAGCACTTGATTGCGTCCACTTTGTGGCCACCATAAATACTACTGCAGACAGGCATTTAATGGCTAAGAGAATTTGATGTAAGCTTTTTATCCCCCTCCTTTTTAGCATTTTCCCTGCTACTGTGGGATTCTTTGGTTATACATTAAATTATCGAATATCTATCTGTTTGTCTTTAGGTCAAGATTTCTGCCTGATACATCATGAGTCCTTTTTATCAGTAGTTCTATTTTTCTTTAACTCCACGTTTTCTTCTACACTGTACTTTTTTCCATCCTATTCATTCTCTTTTCAAGAACAGCAATTATTTATGTGTTGTATCTACTGTCTTCCTATTTATTATCTATTCCATGATTAGTATTCTAGGTTTTCCTTTTGTGTTCCAGATGAGGAACTTTTAAACTTACTTTTTAAACTTACTTTTTATTTTTTGACTTCGTGGAGCTATTTATATTGGATACCCAGACATAAATTTGTACCCTCACATACCATTATATAAGATATAATCATGCATAATTGGCTAATGAAAGGGATTCTACTAAGAGGGGAAGATATAATGTGAAATATTTAGGACACAATAAGAAAGCTGAATAGGAATTAAAGGAAAATATGAAGTATTTTTCTTTAATACAGATCAAAACAATGAAATCAAATGGAAACAACATATTTGTAGATAGAAAAGCTAAATATCTATAGAATAAAAGTACACTAATGACACTGTCAGCATAATGTTGAAAATTACTTCTATTACTATTATGAAGTATGAAGTAGAATTATACACTGATTTAAATATCAAAAGGAATTAGGTAAAGAGGACTGAGAGTACAGCTCAGTGTTAGAGCATGTATTTAGGCTTGCAAAGTACTTGGTTCAATCTGTAGTACACATGCATGCACACACGCCTGTCAAACCTCAAAAAACCAAAGTATTTTAAAAATAAACATAAATAAAATATGTGGTACTATGCAATGATGGAGAACTAATATATTTGTGGATTTTAAAATGTCGTGAAGGGAAATGAGTGATTTTTAAAGTGTGCTGCTACATTCTTAGGTCATAACACACACAAAACTCATTTCCAAATTATTTTTAAATCATTAAAATTTATTTAAATTTTTAAAATTATGGGCTATCTCTGAGGCCTGTACTACCACGGGCCTCAGAGATAGCTCATCAGTCTAAGTGCCTTCCTAGGCAAGCATAAGGACTGGGATTTGATCCCTAGTACCACATGGCCTGTCAGTCCCAGGCGTGATGGGGCACACCTGTAATCCCAGTGCTGGGGAGGCTGAAACAGATGGATCACTATGAGTCTGAGTTGCACAGTGATACCCTGTACCAAATACATATTAATAAAAAAAATCTACCATCAAATATATTTAGATGGTTATCAAATCACTTCATGAATGGCTTCCTAAGCATATTTGAAGAACAGATCACTACAAGTCCAATCTAGTAGTGAGACCCTGAACACCCTGTAGATCCTTCCTTAAAATACAAAAAAATTTAAAAAATTTAAAAAAATAAAAGTACAATGGAAATGAAATACATTTAACTAAATATGTACTTCTGAAATTGTATTTCTAAAAATTTCTTAGTTAAAAAAACACTATCAAACAGTGAAAATGCTTTAAATGTGTCCATTACAGTGTTAATTACATAGCATACTAATATGACTTTATTATATCACAATTTCAAAATTGATGAAGACAAATATAATTCAAAAATTAAGCAATATATTGCAATGTAATTTAACATATTAACTTATGCTAAGAACTTAACCTTAGCATAAGACTTTAAGACACTAGCACTGAGATATTATAGTTACACACACAGAGTCATATTCATAGTGACGTAATTCACAATAGCTAAGCTATGGAAATGGGCTAGAGCCCAGAAATCGATGAACAGACAAGAAATGTGACACATATTTATGCACAGTGGCATATTTTTCATCCAGAAAGGAAAATGAAGATTATAACATGTATAAAAATAAATAAAACTAAAAACATAAAAAGAAATAAATGACTCTCAGAAAGTTAAAGGTCACATATTATATCTTAATTTGAGAAATTTAAAAAAAAAATAAAAATAGAGGAACGATGACAGGAAACTAGAAGGATAGACTTTTATCAATGAGAAAAACAATAAAATTAATAAAAATATGTTAGATGCACATATCAGTATATCAAAATGAATCTCATTATTCTGCATAACTATTATGCACCAATTAAAAGCAAAAGAAAGATACAGGCTGGGGATGTAGTTTAGTGATAGAGCACTTGACTAGTGTGTATGAGACCCTGAGTTGGATTTTCTAGAATCACACACACACACACACACACACACACACACACACACAGAAAGATGACCTAATGCCATATACTTTTAGTTTCCCAAGAAGTGATGGTAATTAATATAGATCAGGAAACTTTGACCCTGGCTTTATAGCTATTGATAATGAGCATACAAATTGATACCAGATTTTGGGACAGAAATTTTGTGTTATCAGTCAGCTAAATGTTAATGGTTTGGGGTTAATTCTGTTCATGGAAATCTAAGAAATAAGGTAAGTGTTTTAAAATTATCTATCCAAAACACTCCATCCCAGAACTATGTACAAGAATAACACTTGCAGGAAGAAACTCATGTTTTTCAACAGATTTTTCCTAAATCATCTTATATACTACACAATATTATGGCGATATTTGAAAGTTACAGAGACATCTTCAGCTTTAAAGGCTATATAAAAGCACAAAAAATTTAAGGCATTATGTTTAAAATATATGGGAGATAAATTTTCTGATCAAGGAGATTATGGAGCCACAGAGGAATGTGATCGATGATGTATAGTGTGCCTGGGGAGAGTCACATGGAGAGAAAAAACATTCTCTCAGGCTTTCACAGAGAGCAAAGTGGTCAAACAATGGTTGTGACTCATCTTCATGGCTGACACTGACAAAGGATCTATGAAATGCAGTACAGGGCTACAGGATAAATCCTGAAAGTCTTTGATTGACCTTATCAGATACAAAAGTTACATTTCTTGTTATATAGATCTTGCTTTATCTTGGTCTTAACCATCCAGCAGAAAAGTATAAAAATGAGGTATATATAGTAAAGCCATATTAATACGGTGAGCTGTAAAAGGCTCAAGTCAATAACTTCTGAGGATAACCCACTAATATTAGAGACTGCTAGACAGCGTTTGAATTCTAGCTGAATTCAAACACCTGTAGTATTTAGATGCCAACAGAATATCCACCTCTTACAGGAAAAAATAAAATAAAATTTAAATTAAAAAAAGATACAAAGGAAAGATCATTTTGTATTTATATATACAAAATAGTTAGGATAGATATACACTTACTTTCACTTAATTCAGTGAGTAGAAAGAGGTGTACTAATAGCGTTTGGATAGGATATCCTGTCTGCTTCTTGTACTATGGATAACCACTAAGAAGATAACAATGTACACTATATTGATTATCGAAACTGTCCTACTAATCAGCTTTGAAACTGTCTCATTTATATTTGTTTCTCAATAAAATTAAAATAAAATATATGGGAAAATATAACACTATAAATTATGTACGTAGTTTTGAAAACTATACAGTAGAAAGTTGTGATGTATTTTTCTTTACATAAAATACTGTGCCATTTTTAATATTGCCTAGCTAATAATATATAAAATGAAAGAGAATAAATGCATTTTGGCACTAACTTTAGCTTTCAAAGTATTTGTCTCCCAAAGGTGTCACTCCATGTCCACCCAGCTTTTACTCCCCCTTATCTCTTCCCAATTGGAGATGTGGCCATCACATACACAGCAACTGACTCATCCAGCAACCAAGCCACCTGCACCTTCCACGTCAAGGTCATTGGTAAGTCTTCAAATCACAGGCGTGGGTTTGCAGCATATCCAGCACATGAGGGACTTTGTCTTTCTTTAGCTTCAACAACGTCCTTTCCACTGCTTGTTCCTATTGGCATTGAAACCTGCTCAAACCTCTCTGTGTATGAAACCTGCATGTCCTTGAACTATCATGGCATGACTTTGATTTCGTTCTATAAGAGCCTCTTGAAAAGTTTTTGATAGTCGCCATCCTGCTCTTCCTTCCAGCTATTATTCTCAGAGTCACTCAAACCTGGCTTCTCTCCACTGATATATAGGTCACCAGTGATCTCTGGTATGATTCCAACTGTACACTTTTCAATCTTTATTTTACATAACCTTCCCTAAGATTTTACCTTAACCACACTCTTCAATCAAAACTTTCTCTTTTCCTAGTTTTTCTGGCCCCAGTCCTTTTTATCCCCCATCAACTCTCCCATGTTGCTTCTGCACCACATCCCAAAGGCTGCAGGGGTGGACTTTGCCCCCTTCTTTCTCTGATTTTTTTTTTTCTTAGTGATGCTGACTGATGACTCCAAGATCTCTACCTGTGACTCTTTCCTGAAATCAAAACCTAAATGTAAAACTCCTTTCAGGGCTTTCCCATGTGGGATATATGACAAACATTTCCCACTCAACTCTAACACACTCTACTTCTTAGTTCGGAAAGTTATAAACTGATCAGACAGCTACCAAGCAAAGACTTAGGAGTCATTCGGCTTTTTCCAATCACCAATATCAGGTTCTCCTGGTTTCATTCTCTGAATAGCTCTGGAATCCCTTTGTCTCTCCATTCTTGCAGCACTACTGTTGGTCAGAGCTTGGGCAGAAGGAAGATGGAGATGGTTTCTGGCAGCATCTCCCAGTCATCCTTCTTAGTCAGTCACCCAGTGGACACCCAGTGCCTACTATCAAGATGTAATACATGGAGAGCTATGCCATGTCGTGGTCTCCAGTAGCCAAAAGCACAAACTGCTCGAATTCATTCTATCTTCACTGTGGACATGCAGTGTGATCACTTATGGACCTGTGCTTCAATTCCTTCATTCAAAAATAGGATTAGTAAATCAATAATAAGCTATTTCATACAGTTATTATGTGCTTTAAATTATTTACAAACTATAAGCCACATGAAATATTGCCCAAGACACATTAAACTTTATGTAAAAGCCAAATAAGAATATGTTGACATTTTATTACTTGCCATGGGTCTATTTTGAAAGTATTTACCTTAAAATTTAATACTTTAAATCCATTTTAGCTTAAGAATTTTGCTCAGCAGACTATAGCACCTGCAAGCAGGCTCAGGGGCCAGGAGCTCAGTCTGAGATGGCAGTTGAAACTGGACATGGTGGCATTCACCTGTAATCCCAACTCTTGGGAGGCTATATACAGATGGATCACTATGAGTCCGATCTAGTGTGAGACCCTGAGTACCCTGTAGACCCTTCCCAAAAATACACACACAGAAAAAGAATTTTAACAACTTCCTGAAATAACTATTGTATATCAAACTGGGTCCTTCGCCTATAAATGATAGATTTTGGTGAAAGTAGATAAAAGATTCAAGTAAAAAAGAAAATCTAACTCATTTATCAAAGCTTACTTTTGTAATTGCTTTTTCAGTATTGTTTTAAATATGACCTTTACCAGTAGCATGAGAAATATGTTGGATCTTTTTCTCTGGCATTGTTATTTAGAGCATGGAAATGTGGCTTAATATTTGCCAAATTTTAGATTTCCATGTAAAGAGTTGACAAGGTGAAATGTTAAATATACATTCAAGCATCCAGCTGGGTATTTGATGAATTTCCAAATTACAGAAGAGAAAGAGAGAAAGGGAGGAAAATGGATTAAAAACAGGATCAAAAAGGAGAGGGGTGCATGGGGAACAGAGACAGGGAGACAGAGACAGAGAGAGAATCCCCCCAAGCCTATGTTGTTCGTGCCCACTTCTGGTTATCGGTGTCTCACTGATGAGTAGGAGGTGAGCAAAATGCTTCTGCCTGGCATCCCACAGAGTCCTACCAGGAAGTTGGCTTCCCCCCCCCACACACACACACACACTCTTTGGGGCAGTGCTTCTGCTGTCACCTGCAACCCTTTGACAGCAATTGACTGAAGCTTATCTGTACCTGTAATTCAACTAAAAAGTGTTTGACAAAAAAGTCCCATAAGCTGAGAAAGTCTTGGGATATCTATTTGTAATTTATTTAGGGAAAATAATGCATGCTTCCAGATTTGTGAATCTAGCAGTAGAATGACTTAATTCAGCATTCTCAAAGCACATCGGCCTATTATGAGCATATTCTCATCCGTTTCTGTATTCAACAACGTATTTGAGCCCTTGTGCCTAAGCTGGATGTTGTGCTACTTAGTGGAGAATTTAACATGAGCAAAACAGGCTCTAATGGTGGTCTACAGAGTTCACAATTTAGAAAAGCAGTAAAGCTAAAATATTGCACTGATGCAACCACAAGCATGAGGGAGGAACATCTCTCATAAGTCTAGATTAACACAGAGACATATATATTCTCAGGGTAAAGAGGATGTTTTCATATCTCACAGATAGAAATCCCATGATTTTAATGCTTATGACTGCAGGTTACTAGCTTAATGACCTCAGGCAAGTCCCTTGAATTTGCCTAGAATCTTCACCTACAGAACAAAGATAATATTTTTCCTACTTTCTTCATTACTTCAAGGCGTCACACGATGAGAACATTTCAAACATGTAAAATCTATACTAAATGATTTCCCCTATATCCTCTTTGTAATCTTTTACTGACATCTAGAATGTATACCACACTCAATAAGGGCTTTAAAACCTGGCTCTCGAAGTCCCTGTCCAGTCTTCCCTTCTACCTGAATCCCAGTGTGCGGCAGTGCAGACTCAGACTCACGCTTCTGTAACTTCCACGATGCCTCTGGCCCCATTTACATTTCCTCATTTCTTAGCCCCCACCCGACTCTTTGTCTTCGCCTAGAAGGAACCCCAGTTCCCCACCTTTGCATGGGACTTTCTAGCCTTCTAGAATATCACGCTCTCACTTCATGTCTTGCCTATTCCATCACAGGCCTCATGTGGCAGACTCATGTCTCTGCCCACAGACTATTAGCTGAAAACCTTTTCTTGCCCTGTCAGAACAGAGAATAGTCATGGATCACTGAAGTGAGCATTTCACTGCTTCAACTTATCTAAGGAAAGGGCAAGGATGAGTCTTTACTTCCAGGTGGGCCAGCTCAACCACCTTGCACAGAACCTACAAATTCGGGGACCATCACTTCTAAAACGTTTTTCACACCGCAAAGCTCACAATAACTTTAATAGCCTGGCTATTTCTTCTTCAACCGATAGAGGCCAGAATAGCAAAAAACCAACTCTTTCTTTGGCCATCACATTCAGGGCTGAAATGTGCCTCGTTGTCAAAGGGGCCGCAGGACCCAAGTCTTTTCTCACAAGGTCAAGGTTCTCTGCCAGCAGAGATTTCACTTCTCTCTTGCATAACTTTTGCAAATCAGTTGTGACTTGTTTGTCTTCTGTCTTGTTGTTTAGATGTCGAGCCACCCGTCATAGACCGGTGCAGGTCCCCTCCTGCAATCCAGGTCTCAGAGAAGGAACACGCTGCCAGCTGGGATGAGCCTCAGTTCTCAGACAACTCGGGTGAGCATACAAGGCTTTTGTTATCAGTCATTCTGAACTATGTTTTGTTTTTGAAAAGCTTTTCTAAAGGATAAAAGATGCAAGCAAATAATAGCTATCAAAGTCAAATGAACAGTCAATGCTTGTATAATTAAATATTTAACAGTATCTCACTCTTACCTACCTGTGGATTTTCCCTCTATTTGGTAGTCAGTACACATTTATTAAACCTTTGCTAAATGTTGTACTTGAATATGTTCATAGATCTCTGAGCTCACAATGTCCTGAAGCATAAATTATTCATTGCTTCATACCTCTAGGCCAGTGCTATATATTCATGCTTAGTCCTTAAACATTAACCAAATAAATTATAGGACACACATATGAAAGTACAAAAACTGAGTAAATACAACTGAAGCTCACTTGAAAAGCTTCCCTAAAACACAGAAAATAGCAACCAAAATGCAAAACAGATTTCTTAATTAGTTTCAAATGTCTCAACTGACTTATTCAAGTAAAAATAATTAGCTTAGCAGAAATGCCTTAATTTAATGAGGTCTGTGTCTGCCATTTCTCTGTAATAGCATAAATATTAAATCTTTCATTTTCTGCTACTAGGCCAATCAACATAAATGGAATGCATAGCTGATTTGCATAAGCAGAAAATAAAGACTTCAAGTCAAAGATCCAGGAGCCGGGGAGATGGCTCAGTAGAATAAGTGTTTCCTTGGCAGGCACAAGGGCCTGAGTTTAATCCCTGGATCCACAAAAAATAAATAGATAAATAAATAAATGAATGAATGAATGAATGAATGAATGAATGAATGAATAAATAAATCTATGAAGTGACTAGAGGCTGATATAGTTAAAAATTTGTACCCTGTGTAGGTGCTGTCTTGGTGATCACAAGGAGTCATATACAAGGAGACCTTTTTCCTCATGGGGAGACCATCGTGAAGTATACAGCCACAGACCCCTCAGGCAATAACAGAACATGTGACATCCACATTGTCATCAAAGGTATTCTCTTTATGAGACCCCCAAGAAACTAGCAGATCTTTCAAATATGTAACCACTACAATTCTCGATTTTGTGAAAGATGGGCTATGAGCTTTCGATTTTTAAAGTAAGAGTGCAGTACTAGCAAGTTATATTTATGTTTCTATCATTCTTTAACATGATAAATGCAAATATTTTCAATAGGCAGTGTTTACTTACCATTTCATTAATGTTTCCTCTAAAGTTACTAAGCATTACCAAGGATCCAGTTTTAAATGCTTGAGGAGATAGAGTCTGACAATGTCTTGCTGTATAATGTTATTCAGTTTTCATTTTTGTTAAAGGAATCCTAAAATAATAAGCCCAAATCAAAAAACCATTTAATTTTTATAAAATATGCAGAATGCTTAATTACATAAAGCCACAATTTTTCAGTGTCTGCTCATGTAAGAACCAAACTGCACCCACTGCTGCTCTTCCACCCTAAGGACTTCAGGTTTTCATAGGTCTCTTTCCTAGGAACAGTGATGGGTAGGAGGCATTCTTTAAATTTTCAACATAAAATGCTGGAATTTAATTTATACTTCTTCTAGTGCTGCAGGCAAATAGTAGAGTGTCATTTTCACACAGGCTCTCCCTGTGAAGTTCCCTTCACACCTACAAATGGGGACTTCATCTGTACCCAAGACAGTGCGGGAGTTAACTGTACATTAAGTTGCCTGGAGGGCTACGACTTCACAGAGGGCTCCATGGAGAAGTACTATTGTGCTTATGAAGATGGTATCTGGAAACCACCATATTCTACTGAATGGCCAGACTGTGCTAGTAAGTTTTAGTTTCATTCTGGGCCCCTTTAATGTACACAAATGTGCTTGGGTGTGGACTTGTGTATTCTCGTATGTTAAAGAGGAAGCTCACCTTACAATAAGAATTAATGTAAATGAGTGATTTATGAGTAAGTAATTTGCTCTTCCCTGGATTTAGAGTCTTGATACAAATTGGATTGCAATTATCCGAACTATCTGTGTATAATTGCAGTCCAATTTGAGTCAAGATTTTAAACCTAGGGAAGAGTAAACTACTCTTAAAAAAAACCAGTTAATGCTTAATTGTTTTTTCTTTAATTTTTTCTCCAATTTTGCATGCATATATCTGATAATCTGAACAACTAATTAAAGACAACAATATGCACTATAACAACCATTGTTGAATTCATATTATTTTGTTTAGTGAAATTTTGTATCACTTCTAATGTGTTTTTTTTTTTTTGTTATTTTGTTTTGCTTTGTTTTTTACGACTTTTTATT